TCCGTCCTCGTCGGTCTAGCGTCCGGTCCCGAAGCGACGATTCCCCACTCTCCGTCTCCTTCTACCAGTACAACTCAGTCGTGGCTGGTTGCTAGGAGCGCGGCACTGCGGCGCCACACGAGAAGACCATCCTCCCTCGACCCTTTCTACTACGACTTTGAAGATGATAGCGCGTTCTCGGAGGTCGAAGAGGAAGTCATTCGCTTCGACAGCGGTCTCGCAGAAATGGTCCGCAGAGCAAGCTGCTCTTCAAACTGGAGCAGCCCCTCAGCCGTAGATAGCCCTGAAAGCGAGGGCGGGCGAACCTTAGACGAAGAAGGTGCATGAGGAGAGTCTAGGAAAGGAACCCTTGCGCGCCCACCATCTGGGTCTGGCGAGTACAGCAGATGCCCTCGCGACACACTCCAAAAAGCAACAACAGAGGTTTAGCGGCCTCCTCTAGGAAGACGTACTTTGCACGCCATCGTGCCCGTTCACACATGTCTTCACTCGATCCCACCCAGCCCCTACCTCCTTGCCTTCGTCTTTCTTACCTTCATCTCGGTCAAGAGCGCTTCAGTGTTCTCGTTGGCTACCAAGCTTTTCCTGTGCATGTTCGTTTGTGTTCCCCATCGCCGCTTCTCCCTCTCGTTGCCACCTTCTCCCCCTTCTCTATTCCAGTCTGGTCGTGGCAATGCAATGTGTCTGGTGGGTGCAAGCACCGCCAGCAGCTGACTTCCGTGCATCGGTCGTGCAAAGAATGACTCCTCCATTGGATGTATGGCGCTTCGAAAAGTTCGCGCTGTGATATGAATTCGCCTTCGACATGCTGTACACTAGACTACAAAGGAATTAGGAGAATCTCGAGAGTGGCCTGCCCAGAGCGTCGGATAGATGGCACGCTTTAACAGAATCTGAAGCAGATGCGGAATGGACGCATCAGTGTCAGAGTCGGAAGCTTTGGCTTGACCTTTGTGGTTTTGACTCACTTCCACTTGTTATTGCAGACCACACATGTGACAAAGGTGGTCCTGATAGGCCGCAGCGAAGCGCCGAATATGCGTAAGAAGTCCACGCCGCGCAAAGCATCCATGTCTCATGTTGAGCAGCAGGTTTGACTCACATGGGCTCATCAGCGCTTCTAGTCTGTTTCTGATAATACCTCGTCTTTCTCTGTTTGCACCTTCCACACTCGAAAGCGTCCGTCTCTGCAGCTTGATCTTCTGCCGCCTTGCTTCCGAACAGATTCTGGACCTGTAGCTTCTCCCTTTCCGCTTTGACCTCGTCTGAAGCCATTTCTTCGGGCTTCATCTGGATCAACACGTCTGCCGGTAAAATTCCTTCCACGACCCTTTGACGTAAAGATGGGTTCTTTGCATCTTTCAGGTTGAGAGACAAGGATCGGATTTTGGACCTGTAATCGCCCGAGACTTCTTCCTTCCCCACGATGGTGAACGTTGCTCGCTCAATGGCCAAAGCTCGCTGGAAGATGATAGCCGGATCTGAAAGAGGATACTGATGTCAGGCGGGGCTATCGGGAGCTTCAAAGAACAAGGTAGACCTTCTCACCTGCATCAGATCCAATCTCCAACGCATCGTATAGTAACTTGAGACACGCATTTCTCGTCTTGTCTCCGAGCTTTTGGAAGTCCAAAGAAGTTTTGCTCGTCTTGCCAGCGCTACTTGCGTCCTTGACAACGGGAGTGACGGGGGATGCAGGAGTCTTAGGTGCGCTTGCGGCTCGATCGCTCGTAGCAGGAGTCCTTGGCGTAGAAGGTGCTTGCGGAGAGGCTGCGCGCAGGACAATGGCGCGACGTTGTCCAAGCGGTGAGCCAAGGTACATGTAGCGTATCGAGCAAACGACCATGCAGCTCTTCAGTACTGCTATGCTGCCGAGCCTCTGTCGAATCAAGCTATCGACGTCTAATGAGCACTTTACTCACACGCCTTCTTTTTGACTGAGCCATTCGCTCCTCCTCGTTGCTTTTCCACTTGTGCTTTCCAGCCAGTAACCAGTTCCTTTGCAGCCTGACTAGTCGCCTTGTCCGTGCTGTTTCTCAGCTTTCCGACTGCTTGTCCGATCTTTGTTTGCTATTGCGTGGCACCATCGTCGTGTAAG